TAGTGGTAGTAGCAGTGGTAGTGGTAGCAGTAATGGTAGTGGTAGCAGCAGTGGTAGTGGTAGCAGTAGTGGTAGTGATAGTAGCAGTAATAGTGGTAGTAGCAGTGGTAGTGGTAGCAGTAATGGTAGTGGTAGCAGCAGTGGTAGTGATAGCAGTAGTGGTAGTGATAGTAGCAGTAATAGTGGTAGTAGCAGTGGTAGTGGTAGTAGCAGTGATAGTGGTAGTGGTAGTGGTAGTAGTAGTGATAGCGGTAATGGTAGCAGCAGTGATAGCGGTAGTTGTAGTAGCAGTGGCAGTGGTAGTAGCAGTGGTAGTGGTAGCGGTAGTGACAGTAGCAGTGGTAGTGGTAGTAGTAGTGGTAGTAGCAGTGGTAGTGGTAGTGGTAGCAGTGGTAGTGGTAGTAGCAGTGGTAGCAGTAGTAGTAGTGGTAGTGGTAGTAGCAGTGATAGCGGTAGTGGTACAGTCCCCTCCCTACGCTGCGCAAACCTGGCGCGCCCGCCCCGTTTGGGGAAATTCCCTCCATGTTTCAATCGTTGCGCCCCGTTCAAATTACCTCCGCCCCAATTAAATTCCACCAAAATAAAAGTTTGACAGCGCGGGAATCGATCGTCAAGAACTCCCATTCGACCAGGCCCCAGGACGCGTGTATTTTTACTGTACCACTAATGCGTAAACGTCCAACACTACGCATGCACTGCAGACCACACACAAGTACAAACAGTCGCCCTGTCCCAAACCCTAACACTTACTGTAAACCGACTCGGCTATCTTATATACAAGTACCCCAAATACCGTCTATGGTGTGGTGGCGATTTTACGCATTACGGTAAAAAAACGCCCCCCGAACCCCCGTAGTTTTTCCTTTCCCCCCCTCTCCCCTCCCCCTGTTTCAATTTCATTCTGGGGAGAACCCTGTGGTAGTAGCAGTGGTAGCGGTAGTGGTAGTAGCAGTGGTAGTGGTAGTGGTAGTAGTAGTGGTAGTTAGGTTGTAGCAGTAGTAGTGGTTGCGGTAGTGGCAGTAGCAGTGGTAGCGGTAGTAGTAGTGGTAGTAGCAGTAATAGCGGTAGTGGTAGTAGCAGTGGTGGTGGTGGTGGTAGTGGTGGTGGTGGTGACAGTGGTGGTAGTGGTGGTAGTGATGGTGACAGTGGTGGTGGTGGTGGTGGTGACGGTGGTGGAGACAGTGGTGATGGTGGTGACGGTGGTGGTGGCGGCAGGGGTATTAATGATGGTGCAGTATTGTAATGGGTTTATTCATTTCACTTTTATTATAACTTGTTATTCAGTCATTGAAATATTTCTGCATCACCACTTACAATTGTTCTTTATAAGCACTCATAGTACATTTATGATATGTTGGGTCACTGACTGATTGTTTTGTTGTTTTGACGCGCAGTGTTCTGAGGTGACTAGCATCACAACACTCGCCGTTCTACCTGGCTCCTGTCAACCACCGAAGCTGCAGGGCAAACCGAAAGCCACGTCAATGCATCTCAAGTGGAGTAAGTCCCATTCCTCCAGCGGCTGATCATATGGCTCCTCTTAGCTTACTTACTACCAAAGAACGATTTCTATCTGTTAATCTTCATGGTTTTATTGTTATGACAGGAAATCTCTGTTTTAACTCGGGGAAGTTTACATGAAAGTATTATTACTCACATGTCTGTGAAAGTTGTGTCATTTGTAGACATCTCCTTACTGTGATATGTGAGGATGCGATATACCTGCATGACTGCATGACCAGCTTACATATATATGTTAGTATAAAACGTGAATGTAACGCAATTTATATGTTTTATTAGCTCATCTGACATAGTCAGATGCAGCTTGTAGAATCGCATGATCGTCCGTCCGTGCGTGCGTGCGTGCGTCCGTCAACAGTTGGGCACAAATCTTAACCGCTCGACGTACGGTCATGATATTCGGGACGTTGGGGGGGATCGTCAAAACGAGTTGGGATGTCGAAGCTGGGGGGGTCAAAGGTCAAAGGTCAAGAGGTGTAAAAGAAGGGAACATTCCCTACTTAACTTTAGGTATAGGGAGGAAATGCAGAATTGCGGCACAAATCTAAACGGCTCGACCTAGGCTCGTGATAGTCGGTGTATAGCATCATGGTAGGAAAAGCCATCACTGTGCCGAAATTGGAGGTCACAGGTCAAAGGTCAAGGGGGCACAGGGCAGATTTTAGACATTTTCTGAGGACATGGTTTGACGGAGCGATTGGGAAACTTTTTAGTTTCAGCGGTGACCTAGCATTTTTATGGCTTTATTGAAAGGACCATGAAATGTACTTTCTGCTGACATGAAGGATACTGACATAATCTTCACATGATGATACATGACTGAACTAAACATGGATTTGTTGACTGTTAACAAAGGACTGAACTGCTTTTGCTATTGTGGATGTGACGCTACAGTTGCACAGTTCAATTGCAAAGGCAAATGTTTGTTGAACAACGTTTACGCTCCTTAAATCATATTATTTTCTAGAGCAGTTTGTATTAGCACCCTGAGTAGCACCCTGTAATATCACACTGTAATGAACCCTGAATGCTCGCGTGTGTAGGCAAAAACATGGGGACAGCAGGGAATAATTTTCCCGGTATCGCATCGCAATTCGCGATGTATTTTCAGCCATTTGCTACGCATATTTTTTTATGAATCGCAGTTGTGCGATGCAGCCCATGCGAGATGTAAACGGAAACATACATGTTTACAATTTACTTTTATTCTCGGGCTGCTTTGCCCCGTCTCTGAAATGCCACGTTACGCCGATTTTATTGACTTGTTAACACCAAGGCCAACGTGACTTTTAAACAATCCTGCACTCCCCCCCCCCTCCCCGTACATCAATCAATATGCCGCCCCATGCAGGCACGTATACACAGCCACGCTGTGCTGGCGCTGCACGCTCTCGCGGGCTGCTTTCTTCGGCGACCTTTGATAATATAAAGTGAGGATGTCGTGGTCGAGGAGTCGGATAGCCGTCCTTCACAATTGCTAGAACTGTATCAATGTTTGGATATATAACGTAAGGAACCAACATTTGATTAAAGTTTTAGACACTTATTTTTACTCGCCAAAATGGGCGAG